TACAAGTGAAGAAATTTTGTGCAGCACATGGACAAAATCAAAAACCGTTATCTCTCAAAAAGTATTTCCTTTGCCCGATAATCTTGATAAAAAAAAAAAAATGTATATATATATATTTTTTTTTTTTTACAAAAAAACAAAAGGTTTGTAGAAAACCGGTAAATACAAAAGTTTCTTGTTCAGGAATTCGTCTAGAATATTTGAAAAAAATTTTTTTTTTTCGCAAGCATCACATTTTAATTGGTGGCAAAGGTTGCGCTAACCATTTACGCAAAACCATACATCGATCAATTACATTTTCCCAAAATTGAAGACATGACTAAAATTTCCATATTCTTACATGCTTAATTGCTTAATTTCTTCACGTCCTCCATGAATAAATTTCATTAGTTAATACGTATTATCAATCTAATCAATCAAAGAGGAGGGAGAGGATAAAGCGGAAAAATTATGAAATCTCACTCTCGTTGTTTTATACCAAAAAAAGTGAATTTGACAAAGCATCTAATTACAAACAAAGATCGGGGAAAATCCGTTATTGAACCATGAGCACGTTTTTTTTGATTTTTTTGATTTTATACTTTTTTTGGGAGATTAGATAAAATCTCCTTTGTTTTTTTTCAAATAAAATAACTTTAAATTTGTGATATACACGAGGATAGCTATAAACACGAGGAAAAATTTTAATTTCAACCCATAAAGAAAAAGGTGTGTTACTTTATTTGTAAAAATTTGACTCAGTATCGAATCTTTTTGGTCCTTTTTTTTTTTTTTAAAAAAAAAAAAAAAAAATTCATCAAACTTGCATAAGAGCGAAAATCATGTAAAACATCAACAAAAAAAAAAAAATTAATGAATTGTTTATTCGATTAATGAAATGGAATATTTTTATTTTTATTTTATTTTTTTCAAAATAGAAAAGGAGGGATACGAAAATTCTACAATACGTTTCAATACCTTTTGTAAAAATCAAAGTTACTAACACGCTTGTAGCACACAAGAGATATTTGACAAACAAGTTTGCCTCAAAAAAATCTAACGAGCATTTTTTTTTTTCTTTACGGCAGATTTACAATTTCCTTTTTTGTGTTTAATACACGAGCAGGGAGAAGAAAGGCAAGGATCCAATTAGAGTTAATTAGGAATAATTAAATCAAATCCAATTCATTAAAAAAAGGTCCGAGAGTACACCATATCTTCGGAGGTAATCCTTATCTATGATATCAGTAATTCTTTTGTTAAGTCGGGCAAAGATGATTGATTGATTGTTCTATTCGTTCATTGTACATGGATGGAGATGGCGAAATAAATTCGGCGGCGAAGAAAATTGAAAAGCGCATTGATTCGCATCGTCAAAATACTCGGTATATTTATACTAATATTCACATTCATCTTTAAATCAAGTTCGTTATCAAGTTTTCCCTTTGGCAAAAAAGACTAGGAAACAAGGCAACAAAAAAAGTAAATCTGGAGGATTGTAAAAAAAAGATTGAGGCGGACCGTTCCGAAATATATCAGTCATTTTCACACACGTTTAAAAAAAATTTTTTTCATAAACTAAATTAGGATAAATTAGTGGATAAAGAAATAACAAATTATGTAATTGAAGGATAATGATTAAATTTTATTTGTCAAAGAGGCATAAATAATCCAAAGTAATTGATTCGCCCAAAGGAAATAATATTTGGAGAGAAAAAAAAAAAATAAAAGATGTAACAGAAAATTTTCATGTGCTTTAACCAACACTAAATAATTTTTTTTTTTTTAAAAAAAAAAAAAAAAAAAAAAACCATACTTGCTCGATTTATTATGATTTAATAAACAAGCCATAAATTTTAAAAGCCCAGTATTAGTGAAAAACTTTTAATAATGAATGGTAAAGGCTTATTTGTCGATCTCCTTTCGCCAAACGAATAAAGAAATACAGAGTGGTTCATTTTTTACCATATTAATATTTAAATACACAAAAAAAAATTTTTTTTCTTTTCAATTATTTAATTGTTTTTCGAGAATGATTTGTTCATTATTGGAAATAAACGTTCAATATTTTCCCAATATTTTTTCGGTATCCGAAAATAGAATTTAATGTATTATTCAAATATTCAAATGATTGTGCATCCAAGTAATATTGAGATGTGATATATTTAAATACTAAACTTGGAATTAATCAACGTGTCAAGCAATCAATTTACTTGTAAATCCAGATTTTTTTTTTTATTTTATTTTTTTTTTATTTCAAATATTAAATCCATTGTCAATACTTGATAAAAATGAATAAAATTAAAAATTAATTCAGATTAAATCTGGTCAAGAGGAAATCCCTTGGTGGTATTTCAAACGAACATCATAAACGAATATCGGTTCACCATATGGACCTTCACAGCAGAGGACAACCATTTTAATACTAATGGATCGTCATCAATCGTCATCCATTGACCAGTTAAAATCAATCATGTCAAATATGTTTGTTTCACCACTTTAATAAACTTGAGTCTTGTGATTGAAAAAATGTGGATGGGTCAATATTTACCTTTTCCCCAAGGAAAAAGAAAAAAAAAAAAAATTTAAGCATGTTTCAAGTTGATTAATTAGGAAAACGAAAATATTCTCATATTTCGAAATCATCTATCACTCGCAACACGCACAAAGTTACCTTTAACGGCAGATTACACAATCACTCTATTAGATAATATCACTCATACGAACATGTGCATTACACCGAAAAAAATTATTGTTTGATACAAATTTCATCCAAGAAAAAATAATAAATTTTCCAAAAGATTTGTTCGCAGAGGGTGAATGTATATTTTTAGCTAACCACTTTCTAAAAAGCTAAAGCAGGTTTGGAAACAGGACCTCTTTTTTGGTCATGAATCGATTGTAGAAATGTGTTGCGATAATCCACCCCCAATTTGTAAAAGGATTGGGTAGTGATTTCTATTGTATTTGTTTATGATTATATTCCGCAGTTGAGCGGACTTTGCAAAGATTCTTCCATTTTACCAGATTTTATACCAGAAACAATACAGATGATGAAAAGAAATATGTCTGCCACCAAACGGAAACTGGTTTGAGCATTACTCAGCTTTTCGTCTTCCCCCACCCCACATCTCAGGTGGTTCAGTTTTTGAGGAGGCGGGCAATGCATGAGGGGTGGTTGAATGAATGAATGTTTGATGTTAATTTCATTTATCTTTTTTCATGATGTGTATTTTTGAACATATATATCCTTCATTTATTATAATACATTATTATTTAACTAATAACTGATAATAAATAATTGTATTATTATTATTTATGTGGATACAGTAAGATTTACGTACTGTTTATTTGCTTTGTGTCTGTTTTTTTTTAATAAAGTTTTTCCCCGTGACAAACCAAACTTTTTTTTTTTTTTTGACCAACTATGATTATTTAAACAAATTTTGATTGGTATAAAATAACCCTAATGTTAAAAGGTAAACAATAAGACCTTTTTTTTTTTTTGATTTATGGGAATAAAAAAAAAATTTTTTTTATATTATATTTTTTTTTTTATATTCAAATATTTTTTTTTTACTTTACTTAAATTGGTCAAACCCAGATAATTTTATATTCAACCGCCTTTGTTGCCTGTTCTGGTAGAAATTCTTAACTATTTTACTTTGCTCATTATTTTGACTCATGATATATAAAAGCTTCAAGATTTATACTTGGTCTGAACTTTTCAACGTCGTGATCATTCTTCTCTCCTTTTTTTTTTTTCTTTTTTTTTTTTTTTTTTGTTTCAACTTTTTTACACACACATATATATATAAACAATTTTCCCCCCAGCAACAAAAAAAAAAATATTTTTCTTTTTTTTTCAATCGACTTTTGCTAAAACGAAAAATAATTTTTTTCAGCGCAAGCGCCTTTTTTTTCTTTTCAAAAAATACAAATATATACACTTTACATATTAAAAGCTTTGTTTGTTGTCTCCTCCCTTCACATTTTGAAACGAAGTTACTTAAACCACTCTGCTACTTTATTTTCTTTCACGTAACTATCAAAAAAATCTTTTGTAATTTTTTTTTTTACGCTCGCATTTGTCCTTTTGGTTGCACTTACTGACGAGATATTTGGGTCTATTTTTTTTTTTTTTTTCTTCCTACGTTCCAAAAAATAGAGAACTTTTTCAACCCACGAATCAGAAAGGAAACCTCCTAACAAGCAACTAGCTCTTGTTAACTTTTATGACACGACGTTATTTTCAAATAATTTATTAGATTTTATATGTTGTGATCGTTATTAAAAACCTTGTAAAATTTAATTATATATATTTTTCCCTCGTATCTTCGCGTCAGAATTTTTTTAATTCGGTAAGTTTATCAATGAGATTTTTTTGATGTGCGTGGTTCATCTTTCCAGTGGGTTCTGACATAATGCTCAACCATTTGATACTAAAAAAAAAAAAAAAAAAAAAACCTGTTTATTTTCTAATACTGACCTCTTATTTTTTTTATTTATGCACTTATCTATATCTTTTTCTCATCATCATATATAATAAATAACAACTCATTCCATTTTGATATTCCTACTATTTCATGTTTGATACTATTTTTCGCCTTATACATCACATATCAACTATAACTATTTAAATAAACTTTCTCACACTATCGTATATATTTATATAATATAATAATTACACGTTTTTTCAATCCTTCCTTTAAATAACCCTTTTAAATAAACTTTTCTAGACTTTTTTTTTTTAAAAAAAAAAAACCTCTTTTTTTTCTTTTCCTATTCAAACATTTTTTCTTTTTATTAAAAAAGAGAGTAAACCTCTTTTTTTTTTTTCCTTTTAACTCGTTTTCGAGCTTTTTTTCCTCTCTTCTTTTGGTTATTATAAAAATAATATCCCTTGTTATTTTTGGAACCAAAAAAAAAATTTTTTTTTATCTCCATATTTCTCATTTTATATAGCAGGTTATTATCGATCGTCCTTTACTATTTTTTTTTTTTTCCTTACTTCGGACAGCATGACTACTACCGCTATTATTCCACAAGAAGTTAAAACTTCTCTTGAAGAGCAAAATTACCCTTTTAAACCAAATTGTGGTTCACGTGTGCCTATATATGCCAACCTGAGTGACTCGGCTCAACAATTGGAGCAAAATCTTGTTTGGGAACCTCTTGGAGCCGAAAAATCTTTTGATTTAAACCAATATATCAATTTTGCAAATTTTTCAAAAAAGTACTCTTCTTACGAACCCTCCTCCTACTTCACCGTTTCCTCAAGAAGACAATACACCAATCCTCTTGCTTGTGTTAATTCACCTTATTATGATCATCTCGTTAACGGTGGAGGTTCGTTTAATGGTGGCAATGGTACAACGTTGAATGGTTGCACAACTGATATCGACAATGAAAATTTGGTTCCGCAACAACAAGGTCAACTTTACAATATCATGAACAAGCTTCCTCCTTCCTCTTCGGCTTGGTCTTCCTTTGAAGATTTAAACACTCCAACAACCGCAACCACGAATTCCACCGCTACCTCACGTTGTTCTACGCCGGCAAATTCTGGTTTTTCTTTCAATGAGCAAATAAAATTGGAGCCTTTCGTTGCGCAACAACACAAGGATGTTCTTAATCCCACTCCGCTCAAGTCTCGACCCTCTTTTCAAGATTTAACCTCTCTTAAAAAACGTACTTCGGTGTCCGACTTGTCTCCGAGTCATCGTGGAAATGGTGTCCAAGCTTTTGATAATAATAAGAGTTGTAGCAACAATGGTGCCGTCAACGCCAACAATAATCAGCAACACGCCAAGGTTCGACGTAGCAGTAACACTACAATCATGTCTAACGCTACCGTGATGTCTGACACGACTTCTGAACAATCGGATAAGTCTACCGCCATTGAATCTGAGAAAGAACAAAAGAAGGCAACCTTATATAAAACTGAAATGTGTCGAAATTGGGAAGAACGAGGTTCTTGTCGGTAAGTGTCAAACATTTTTTTCTTTTTCTAAAGCTTGAAATTCACTCTTTTCCTAGTCTTAATCACGCTTACTATTGTTATTAGGTATGGTGCAAAGTGTCAATTCGCACATTCGGCCAATGAATTACGCATAGTTCAACATCATCCAAAATACAAGACCGAGATCTGCAAGACCTTTTGGCAGAATGGAACTTGCCCTTACGGCAAGCGATGTTGCTTCATCCATAATGACAAAGAACGTCTCCTCCTTTGCAAGAGACACAGTGCCGATAATTTAAAGAATTCAAATAAAAAGGACAAGTCCAAGGGATTAAGTAAATTCGGAAGTGATTCGGCTCTTTACGGTTCTTACCAAAGCGATTCGTCAAATTCTTCAAATGGTGCACCAATACCATCTACACCTTCAATGAGTCCGATTGACTCTACACCATCATCTTCCTCAAATGATGATTCACTTCGAGCCTTTGCGGATGCTTATTTTTCACCCAGTCACAACATAACCATGTCACCTGAAACCATTGTTTCAAACAACACTTCACCACCAACCATTCGTGACGATGACATCACGGCTTCATCCAATTCAAGCCCCAACAATACACCGACAAAGAAGCGAAGCACAAACTTTCCATGTAATGGTGTTCTCGGATTCAATACTCAACTCGGTGAAGACGATGAATCCTCTGCTTTCGTTGATGACCCATTGATGTCGAGTGGATTTTTGAACGAAGCCATGGATGACGGTGCAAAATCCCTCATGAGTTATGGTGCTTTTCCAAATGATCTGTTGTTACCAAGAGTTGATAGGAATACTCGTTCACAAGAGCGTCGAAGAGCATCAAAAACTTCGTGTAAATTGGAAGGTTCCGTCAATTCTTTCAATTCTGTTGTTCAAATTAATGGTGATTTGGCTTTAAACGAACGAAATATTATTAGTATGAGCGTTGGCGTGAAATCAGCGGATCTTGGCATCAATCCTTCAACTCTTGCAACTCAACATCAACTACCACAACCTCAACTTCTTCTTCAACAACAACAACAACAACAACGTAGGTTGGCAATCTTTAGAAACTTTAAATAGAGGATAAATTCATATTATAATATTTATATTTAATAAACACAAACAACAAGATTTGGTTTTATCATTTCGTCTATAGAGTTTCTTTCAAAAAAATCTTTTAGGATACAAGTGAAGATTCATTTGGAAGGGGGATGATTTTATGCGAATATATTATTTGGTCGGAAAGAAATCTTTTTTAACTTGCAGATTTTTTTTTTTTTTTTTCTTTTTTTCGTGTAATTATTTTTTTTTTCCTCTTTTTTTTCTCTTTTTTTTTTTATTATTTTTATTTTAAATTTGGGAGAACGGATTGTGAATCAGGAATCATATATTTGCATTATAATGGATGAGATAAAAAAAAAAAGGTGGTGGAATATTAATTTCAAAGAACAATATGTCCATATGGTCTACTTTGCCATTCACGCAAAATTTCAAATTTTTATTTTATTTTATTTTTCCCCCCTCTTGCTTTTCTAATAGTTGTAACGCAATGTTGTTATGACTATATTGCGCTTTTTATTTTTCTTTTATTGGTTTCTCTGTCTTTTTTTTTTGAGGAATTGTCTTTTTTTTATATATAAACCAGAAAATTGAAAAAAACATAATTATATATCAGGAAAAAAAAACCGACCTTTTTTTAATTAAGAGAACAAAAAAAGGTCTTTCAAATAATATTTACAACGTATATACAAAGATGAGAAGGATTAGTTAGTTACTTTAACAAATAGTTCTTTTCCTTTTTTTAATATTATTTATTTTTTTCATTATTTTTTTTTTTTTTTTTTTTCAATTAGTTTCGCTTTTTTTTATCTTTCAAAAAAAAAAAATTTCAAAATATTATACAAAGTTTTTTTCTTTTTTCTCTCTCTTAAATACAATGAAGTAAAAAAAATATTTAAAACATTAAAATTTAAGTCTTGCAAAAAAATTTTCGAAGTTTTTTTTTTTTTTTGTATTTTTTTTGTATTTTTTTTTTTTTTTTCTCACTAAGATTACTAAATTGAATTCGAGATTATCAAAATTTATAAAATACACCGTAGATCTCAAGATCCTGCTTGTGAGATCGTGATCTCTGTTCGACCAACACAATTGATCTTCCAAACGTTAATCCTTTTTTTAACATTTCACAACGGGGGTATTTGATCTTCGAGCGAAATTAATATGATGTCATTTGGTAAAAATAAAATTACTTCGACATTGGTTATTTAAGAGAAGGATAATAATTGTATGTATTATTGCATAATTGTTTACATAACATGAATAAATGATGAATAATACTTGATAATTTCGAGCTCGAACTTCATACAATTACTTTTTTTAATGAAAATAAATATTTCCATAGTTGTTACTTGTTATTTTTTACTAAAAATAAAGAGTTTTTACGTTACATTAGAGCCTTTTTTGGCTTGATAATAAATTTTTGGTAAAACAAAGGTAAAAAAAAAATTTCTCAATTAAATTTTCATAAATTTCCGAATATATTAAACTTCATTGTTTTTTTTTTATGCAATTAATTTAAGAATTAAAAAATCGCAATAATTTTATTATATGATATAAACGCCGGAGTTATGCAAAAAAAAATTTATAAATGTTTTTTTGGAAGGCAATTCTCTATTTATATAAGTACTTGAAATTTACAACTACGCTATTTGTATTGAGGAAAGAGTATCTATCCTAGCCTAATATTTATCTTGAACCAATATTCATATTCTATATAAAGGCTTTTTATTTTTTTAAAATTATAAAAACTAATAATTTTAAATATTTTAATAGATATAATGTATATAATTATAGTATAATGACTTAGTTAATATATATACATATATAAAATAGTTAAAATTTTGATGAATTCAAAAAATTGAATAGAGATCCTTTCAAACAAAAACTTATAATTATACAATTAATATAGAATAATAATATATAGAAATTTTTTTTTTTATATAAAAATTAAAAAAGAAAGTATAAAAAAAATCTTAAATTTTAAAAAATTTTTTAATTCCAACTCTAATAATTTTTAATAAATTAATTATTTCATATTTTTTTTTTTTTTATTATTTTAATCATATTTTTATTTTAATTTAAACATTTTACTTTATAATATTATATTAATTTATTAATTTTTTATCTATAAAATTTTAAAAATGTTTATTTAATTTAATAAAATTTTTTTGTTTTTTTAAATTATTTTTACTTTAAAAATAGAATAATTTGAAATAAGTTTTAGAATTTTCTAATAACATTAAAATAAAATAAAATAAAAAAAAAAACAAATATTAATTAATATTTTATATATAAGAGAAGACAAAAATATTGTTTAATCAAAAATTAAATAATTTTACAAATTTTTTATAAGTAAATAAGCTATATTTTTTTAACAATATATTAGTTATTTATTACTTAATTATATTATTTGACTTAAGTAATACAAAATTTAAAATTAAAAACTTATTATTTTACAATTTATCATATAAAATAAGTTAGCTTTTATATGTTTCCATTAATTAATAAGTTACAAATAATCATATAATAAAGTCGTTTTGAGTTTATATAAACTCCAAACGACTTATATTAGATTATTTTAGTCTCATTTGTGTTTGCGTTATCATTCAAGTGATGATTGGTTCACGAGTTCGTCGTCACACTTAGGTACCCATGATCTATAAAAAATATGACGATAATTTTATATTTACGTCGTCACACTTAGGTACCCATGATCTATAAAAAATATGATGATGAATTTATGTTCATGTCGTCACATTTGGATACCCATGACCTATAAAAAATATGACGACAATTTTATGTTCACGTCGTCACATGCGATATAATATATGTCAGCTTAGTAGTCGTGGCCAGTTGGCTCACATAGGCAAAAAAATATATATCTGACGATGCAACCAATTATATATCGTCATTGTGAGGGCTAATGCTATCAAGTATACTATCAAACATGTATGTGCAATTGCTATCAATACATACATCGTAAATGTTATCAGGGAGTGCCATCAATATACGTTGCGTAATTGCTATCAGAAATGCTATCTAATTGCTATTACGTATATTATATACATACTATCTGGTTATGCTATATACACGAATCTGGTTATGCTGTTGAATCATGTTATCAGGTATATATTATCAAATATGTATACGAAATATATCGCGCAAATGTTATCAGTAATGCTATCATGTATGTATATGCTATCGAGCATATTACATAAATGCTATCAAATATATGTCGCGTAATTGCTATTGAGTATGCTAAACATATGCTATCACATATGTGTCGTGTAATTACTATTGAGTATGTTATATTTCTGCTATTGGGTATACTATATCCATGCTATCAAATTTATGTCGCGTAATTGCTATCGAGTATGCTATATACATGTTAGCGGGTATGCTATCTGTCACTGAAAAATATTTGGTGATAACTTTGGTGACAGGTTTATTATTAAATTTTGGTTTCAAATGAAAACATACCTAGAAGCATATCACTAAAATGGGTAGCCTTATTCCATAATTATTATATATATTACTGAAGTTAGCTACTATGATCAAATACACAAAAATATATCTAAAAATATATTGTCAAAAGGGTAGCCTTCTGCCATTTTTCTTATAATATATTACCGCATTTAGCTACCTCCAATCACATACCACAAAACATATTATTGAAAACATATACCCAAACACCACTTTGAAAACATATCATTGAAAAGGTAACTTTCTGCCATTTTTTTTATAATATATTATTGCATTTGGCTACTCTAAAAACACAACATCACAAAAGGGTAGTCTTCTGCCATTTTTCTTATAGCCAGAGCTAGTGTCTCTAACATATATTACCGCAGATTACTACACTTGGATCTAAAATTATTCATCTATTGAGTTCGTATTTTTTGTTGTGTATTCAAATAAAAAACGATGTACTTTTTTGATACTACTGCGTACCAGGCATGAAAAAATTAATTTAAACTTTTCCAAACTATATTGTAATAATATAATCGAACAAAGATTGATACATATCAATAAAAAAACCAAATACGAAAAATGAGTAAACAAAGCGCACAACTCGAGCAGTATAGGGGCAGGGAAACTGATAACTATTCAAGTGACTCAGATATCTATAATGATAATATATCTGAAAGTGGATCAGAAAATTGCAGTGACTATGGTTTCAACTATGAGTCAGATACTGAAACTACTATTAAGTTTCCAATACCCCAACCCCTAAAGTAGAAGAACAAATGTCTAATACGACATCTTCCACAGAGTAAGTAAATCCCACATATTCTAAAAGGCAAGAAAGGTTCAACAATAAATTTACACAAAAAGATGTGATGAATAAAATCTGTAAAATCGTTTCTTCGTCTGCCAGAGATATATCGAATAATAAAGGATCATTAGAAGATATACATTTATGGGATTATCTCTTACCTAATTATGGAGCAAAAGAAGGAATTAGTCTGCTCAATGCATATACACAGGAGGAGTTAACCAATAGTTTGATTATCCAAATTGACCAAAAAGATAATCAAACACCAAAGTTTTCTATGATAGATGACATATCTGAGATATATAGATTACCTAAAATTCATGAATATATTAATGGGCAACGGCCTTTAAGAGTTGTAATTGATATTGATATATCTAAAGAAAAAATGGAAGCTGAAAACGTTAATACTAAAAATGTGTTTTTCAGCATTTGTTGTTCATTTGTAAGAGCATTGTATCGAATTCTTGATTGTAGTTAGGAAGAAATTATTAAAGGATTGGTAATTATGACATCATCTGATGATAGTAAATGCAATTATCACCTTCTATATGCTCTAACTCTTCTTGTTGATTATCAGGAGCTCAAAGAATTTACAGAATTAGTATACAGATTAACGGGAGAAAAATATGGTAAGTTTATTAATAGAGGGTTATCTGGTCGAAATTTCTATCTCTGCTTAATAGGTTCAGCAAAAAAAGATCACGTAAAGCGCATTCTCCAATACTCACTAGATAATGGGTAGAGTGATCTCAATGACAGCCGAGTTCAACCACTAATTAATATGAATTTAGAAGTACGTCTTCGCATACTTAGTGTAGAAAAAATAAATCAGAAAAAAATAATCATTAGTCAAGATTCACTAAAAAAATATGCTAATTTAGTTCTGCAAAAATATTCTGATTATCTTGAAGGGTGGGATATTAAAGAAAAAGATTCTCAGTATTTCATATATTTTAATCAGAAAGCATATCTAGAATGTTTAATTTGTAAACGCACACATGACAAGGATCAGCGGTAGTTCAGTCGCGCGTATTATGATAGTTCGTTTATTGTGAAATGCTTCTAGCAAAATCGTGATGAATCAGAGAAAATTTTCAATGATCTATTTATCGCGGAAAAAATTCAGCAAAAAAATAAAAATAATATTCCTCCACTCATTTCTCATAAAATAAAGGGCCCAAAGTTCCCAAAACCTTTCTTAGAAATATCAGCTTAGATGAAATGTGATGAACACCTTACCACAACGAAAAGATATAAGGAAAGATATGTGAAACCTTTACCTAAAGAAAATGATATTTATATAGGATTGCCTTGGAAAACAGGAAAAACATATGCTATAGAAATTTAAATATTCCTGAAAATACAAGCTTACTCGTAATATCAACTTAGCATACTTATTCAGACACTGTCATTACTAGGCTCAATCTCAAATCATACTGCGATATTAATGAACCTATAAATCTTAGAAAGCATCAAAGGGTAGTATGTCAGGTAGAAAGTTTACATCGCATTACTAACAAATGTAAATGTGATAAAAAATGTAAATGTTTTGCATATTCTAACATTCTAGCATTAGATGAGATTGTATCAGTTATCTTGCAAATACAAGCTCGTTTAAGTGGTTTGTCTATATCTCTTACCAATTTCTCAGAATTAATTACTCAGGCAGAAAGAGTTATTGTACTAGACAATGATCTCACTGATCTTAATATTGAATAGATTAAAGGACTTCGACCAAATAAGAAATATTTAGTTATTCACAATACATACCAGCCCTAAAAAGATAAAACATTCCGTCTAACTTCTGATAAAGAAACTATATTTATAGAACTCTGAGAATGGATCAAGCAAATGACATCATTACCTTTTGAGAAGCGAAAAAGTGCGTTTCTTATCTGTCATAAGAGGAGAAATATTTAGGGTATTGTTCGAGCTCTTAGAGCTGATTTTCCAGAATTGCGTATAAAAAAGTATCATGGTAAGTCAGATCCAATAGAGAAAACTCAAAATTTTAGAGATGTAGATAATGCATGGAAAAATATTGATCTCGTTGTATATATCAGTACATTAAAGATAAGGGTTTTTTGCACCAATCCTAAGTTTGAGCGAGCATTTTGTATCTTCAGTAGTTATATAGAAACAAATGCTGGGACAAATCAAATGTTATTCCACATGCAATGCATTAAAGATTATATATGTTATATTCAACAAAGGGCATCTAAAGCCTAACTACAGATGAGGGGTTGTTTCAATAATTAACAGAAGCAAAACGTGGATGTCTCCCTCAAGAGCTTCAGAATAGAGGAATATTTCCAAATATAGATACTATTATTCAAAATAAAGATATCCTAACTATCCGATTATGGGTGGCATATATGTTAGAAAAATTCTGCTCTCAACGTCTATTTGATTGGAGAATGGTTGATTTTCTCCAAAAGGTAGGTATGGTAGTTTTAGTAATAGAACTAACTCCCAAACCTAAAGATAATATTGTGTTATTAACTAAAACAGTAAAGGAAATTTCTTCGGTTATTAAAGCAGAGGAAATTTCAGACCTTGCAAATACAAATATTATTAACTGTGAAATGGCTGAGCATCTAGAAAATAAACCAAAGAAAACTTTAGAAGAAATGCAAGCATTAGACCAACATCATATTGTAAATTACTATAATATAACACCTGAGTCTTTGACTGAAGAATTTATCTTAGAGTTTAGAAATTATAATCATATGCGCTGGTTTAGAGCTCCCCAGAAATTATAAGATACAGGCACTAATAATGAGATAGCAGTTGAAGCAATTACCTGTGAAGATTATAAAAATGATAGGCTCGCAACTGTTACTAGAGCTGAAAAACATCGAATTTGTCTTGAATTATTAAAAATTTGTACACCTGTTAAAGATATCGATAATAGAAATAAATATAAAACTGATATTGTTAAAACACAGTTAGAATCACCTGAATCTATAAAATATCTCCAAGAATTAGTTCCTAAAATGGCTTGGGTTTTTGATAATACAGATGTATTCTGACGCGCCAAAAAATCTGGATTAAAAACTCTTAGAGCAAAACTTGGTTTATTAAATTCAGCACTTTATGCAACTTACAGTTTGAAGCTCAAAGGTATAAATAACAAGCGTATACATTATCATCTAATTAGAGCATTTGACTATGAGAATGTTCTCAAATTGCCACTATATCAAACGGGTGAAGATTAGGTAAATGGGAAAGATTGGCAATATGGGTATAGTAAACTCTCGCCCGATGAAATAGAAACTTCTCCCAATTCTATCTCACAGGATACTCAAGACCTATTTGATATCTGTTAATATATATGTCTATTCAATAAGATAATTTACAATATATCTTACAAAGGGGGTTTTTGTGACGCTTAAAAATGATACTTATAAAAAAATCCATTACGAAAACCATTTTTGTGACTCTTAAAGTTGATATCTATAGTTATATAGTGACTACCTTCGGTAAAAGTGAGTATAATTATGCATCAGCTTCTATTCTCTGTGCCTTTTATTTCTCATACCAATTTTGAAAATAAACCCTCTTTGCATGCTTAGGACAATATTCCGTCCCAGAAATTGTTAGTTTTCCACAGATCCCACAAGGAAATTTTGCTATATTTGTATCATATAATTTCTAGTGCAATGAACACCCTATGTCCCGCCAACAACCTTTTCCACAAATCGAACCATCTCTTTTAACATATGGACAGGTTGAATGCCTCAAACTATCTTTTTTAACGTATTGATTGGTTAAACACCCTATTCAAAATGTTTTAATGTATAATGTATAAAACCTGTTTCACTTTTTATGCAAATATATTTAATATAAAACCAATTTAAATCTTTTCAGGTTATAATAATATATTATGTGTTAGAGATACTATTCGAAGTATTGCTTATAACCTCTCATATTCCATAAAACTCTGTATAAATACTAACATATTTTTTACTCATATTTTCATATATAATATATAAAAATCAATTTAAACTTTTCTAAATTATTTTTTAATATTATAATTGAACATATATTGATACTATATACTATACTAATACTACACAAAAATGTATAAATTATACACTAAAGAGCTAGAATATAACAAAGAAACGATTACTGCTGAGCAATTATCAAAATTGACTAATCTTTGGAGAAAGCCAAAAATTTATAACCCCAAAATGAATCGCATGATTGCAATCAGTAGACCAATATATCCCAATAAAAAATTTGATATAAAAATTCCATAAAAATATAAAGTTTTATAATGTATAATTTTTATGGAATTTCAGTATAATGTATACGTTTTTTCCTTAAGTAAAAACCTTAAACTTAATACGGAAAAG